ATTGTGGGAGTGGTGGTTTTCAACCCTGCAGAATGAGCATTTATGTATATGAGCATACAGTTTACATGGTCGACGCATAAACTAGTCTTTGGTGGAACTGCGCCAGGCACACGACGTTCTGTCTCCACCGCCGTCACTACCACCAAATTTCGCTACTGTAGGGGTCTACACGTCCGCATCAAAGCCTTGAATGTCGTCTCCAGTGTTCATCGTAGTCGCTTGTAATTTTTTACAACAATTCCCAATCCTGAATCAGTGAAGTGGATTTTCGCCTTTGAACCTTGCTTGGTAATTGTGGTACATTTTGTAGGCCTGAAGCATGAAGTAGTGGAATGCTTCTTTCCTATTCTTTTTCTTCCGGCAGCGATCCCAAGAAGGGCAACGCAAGACTGCCTATAACCCGCATCCTCTCCATTCTTGCTCAGTAACGCTTCCTTTCCAAGCTGTGTTGATGTCTCGGTAATTTTGTGTTGATTTTTGATTTTTTTGTTGGTACACCATAACTTTGTACACATTTATAAAGTGTAATCGAAAGACAAAAGGTATGTGAGGTTAAGCTGGCTCTTGGGGAGAAATATCCAGTACCTTATTGATGGAAGTGAACGAAGTGTGTGAGCCGAGGTGGCACTTTTTGATGAGGTATTGCCGTCTGTGGTATCGGTGAGTGGAGCATTCGGCAACGAAGCCCTTTGAATTCAGAGGTACTCTCTGGTATAAGTAAATGTAAGAGCTGAAAGACGGTCACCATAATTATCTAGTAATTACTATTATTTTTTTTCTCATTTTTCAAATGTCTTAACGCTCTTAAGGCTTCGTCAATTCTTGCTGCAATCCTTCCCCACTGTACTATTTTCTATTTTTGGATTAGTTGGCGTAGGGTAAATCCTTGTTGACAAGTGCTCTCCGGGAGGTAGAGGCAACTATGTACGATTTTGTCTTTCCTTTCCTCATTACTAAAATAGTAGGCCTTGGAGCTTTTGCTATTTTCCTTTGGTGTATGTGTAACGCATTTCTTTTGTGCGTCATGGTTACGATGGCTTGAACGGAGAGAAAGGGGAGTGTGCGAGGCTTTCTTTTTCACTCCACTAGTGCTTCATGACCTGCCATTGCTTCCTCTTTGGCAGTGTTCTGCGTTGCTTTTGCAAGTCAGTTTCCCCTTATGGCAGTGCTGCATTAGTAAGGAGCAGGCCGTATAGAGTGGATTCTTGACGACAAATGGTGAACCGGATTTGGAACTAGAGAATTACTTCATTCCCCATTTTATTTGCTCAGTGGCGGAACCGATAGGCATTGGAGCTTCTGCTCGTTTACTGTAGGTCTTGTGTGAGGCAGCTCGCTTGATGTTGCGGCACGTTTAGTGCTGCTGTTTTTTTTCATGAGGTTTGTGAACCCTCTTTTGCGAGGGCACATTCCTCAATATCACTTGTGGCATTTTCCAGCCTTTGCAGTTTTTTCAAATTTGTCTGCCTAAGCACCTATGAACATAATCTTTTACTGCTCTGATTTGCTGGAAGGCATTACTTGTTAGGGCATTCGGTTTTAATTCCATATCGTATGTAATTGTCATGCCTTTCATAAATTTGTCAAATTATTTGTCGATGGAGAATCATTTTTTGCAAATAAGTAGATTCAAACACTAAAAGCTATGCCTGGATTTGTTGGTGATTCATATCATCTGCCTTAGAACGCTTGATCCAAATTAATATGTAGAATTTGGTTTTTTTAAGAAAGTTCTTACTAAATTTCTCCAACACGAGAAACGGCTTTCCTGTAGAATC